TCTTAATCGCCTCCCTGGTTTTCACTGTGTATGGCAGCCATTGCAGATGCGTAGTGGAGATGACGGCTCTCCTCAGCTGGACTTCCAGACCCTGGAACAAAGTATGTATGTTGAAAAGAGTGAAGTGCATTTTTCACTTCAGCTACCAGAACTTTATCAATAAACTGAAAACACCCCTCGTTTGTTTAATTTCCACTCAAAACAGCCGCTAAGTACAAGTTTTTCATACTGTAAGACAGATTTCTGATGAGATTAGATATAAGTTCATCCCCTTGCTTGAGAAAGTCAAATGAAAGTAAGCAAAATGACAAGAAATTGGAGTTGCTTAAATGCTATGCCTGGAAGAGCTGGTCGACCCCAAAACTGCCCCCATCAGATAAACAGCACTTAAAGCTTTCATCTCTGAGAGAGAGGAGAAAATCAAGCTGCTTCAGATCTGAAAACATCCACAGGTGTTTCTGTCCATCCTTCCACTGTGAGAAGACGACTCAGCGCTGTGGGTCTGAAAGGATGTGTAGCTGATCAAGAAGAACCTCACTGAGAAAAGGAGACGGACACATCAAACAAAGAAGCTGAACGATGGACTGACCACCCCAGAGTCCAGACCTCAACATCACTGAATGTGTTTGATTACTTCAGAAAATGATCAACCAGCTTCTAAGACTGAACTTTGGAGGTGTGTCTGCAGATTCTTTGAGGAGCTGAAAGCGAGTCTCCTGAAAAGAATGGAAGCTGAAATAAAGGGAAGGAGTGGAAAACTGATTTTATCTACACCGATCAGGCATAACATTCTGACCACCTCCTTGTTTCTACACTCATTGTCCATTTTATCAGCTCCACTTACTATATAGGTGCACTTTGTAGTTCTACAGTTACAGACTGTAGTCCATCTGTTTCTCTGATACTTTGTTAGCCCCCTTTTACCCTGTTCTTCAGTGGTCAGGACCCCCATGGACCCTCACAGAGCAGGTACTATTTGGGTGGTGGATCATTCTCAGCACTGCAGTAACACTGACGTGGTGGTGGTGTGTTAGTGTGTTGTGCTGGTCTGAGTGGATCAGACACAGCAGTGCTGCTGGAGTTTTTAAACACCTCAGTGTCACTGCTGGACTGAGAATAGTCCACCACATCTATAAGGTGGATTGACAAGGTAGGAGTGTCTAATAGAGTGGACAGTGAGTGGACACAGTGTTTAAAAACTCCAGCAGCACTGCTGTGTCTGATCCACTCGTACCAGCGCAACACACTAACACACCACCACCACGTCAGTGTTACTGCAGTGCTGAGAATGACCCACTAACCAAATAGTACCTGCTCTGCGAGGGTCCATGGGGGTCCTGACCACTGAAGAACAGGGTAAAAGGGGGCTAACAAAGTATCAGAGAAACAGATGGACTACAGTCTGTAACTGTAGAACTACAAAGTGCACCTATATAGTAAGTGGAGCTGATGAAAATGGACAATGAGCGTAGAAACAAGGAGGTGGTCAGAATGTTATGCCTGAGTAGACTGATAAATCAATGTGATCAGTTATTGATCTCAGTGTTACTGAGCTCTGCTAAAGCCTGAGTAGACTGATAAATCAATGTGATCAGTTATTGATCTCAGTGTTACTGAGCTCTGCTAAAGCCTGAGTAGACTGATAAATCAATGTGATTATCGATTATTAATCTCAGTGCTACTGAGTACGTTTAGGGCCGTGTATTCAGTATTCAGCCCAACCTCTAGGTGAACTCAGATATCACAGCATAAAGCCAAACCACAGGTCACGTGATTTAAATGCCGCTAGCCTACTTCCTATTCTAAGGGCAACACGACCAAACAAACTCCACTGAGGTGCGAAGCCCGTCAGAACGTTTCGTAAAAGCCTTGGCTGATTATTGATCAACCTTCCCCTTTAAAACCCCTCCTCCTCCTCCTCCTCTTCTCCCCCCTCCCTCCTCCCCTCTGCCCGTGTGTCCTGCTGTGTTGTCTGGCGCAAATGACAAATACATACACGAGATTAAGACAAAGCGGGTTAACGTGGTCAGCGCACTCACCCTCCGGTCAGCGCGAACAGAGCTGATCGATTATTTTATCGCCGGTCTGGTGGTTTTACTGGTCCGGTGTCGAGCCGGCCTGCTCGGCTCCATCTCTCCGCTCTCCGCCTCGATTTCTGGAGCGACGCGCTGTTTTCCCCCTTTAACGTTCTTACGCAAAATGCGTAAATGACACCGGCCCGTGATTATTAACTTAAAACCGCAGCTTTAACCGGGCTGGAGTCCGCAGTGATGGTCCATACAACCTTAACAATAATCTGGAGCACAAACTAACCAGCAGTCACCCGCCTGCCTCCACCTCTCACCAACCGCTGTCCTGATTGGCTCCTTCTGCCCCTCGGTTCTCTCCTGTCATTGGTCAGCAGCGCCGATGCGGACACATTGCTGCTAAATTAGCCCTGAATCTCCTTTAAATGCTCGGAAAATGTGGAGGAGCTTCGAATCGCATCACTGATATTTTGTAGGTTGCATGTGTGACTTTTAGAGCTGGCTCAAAAACAAAAATATAGACTCCTGGGTGTTCCCTAGTCTGCGCGCTAGTGCTTCTGGGTAATGTAGTTTTTTTTTTCTGGAGAAGAGGCCTGAGCGCCTACTGACTGGAGCTCCAACTCAAACTGTGCTCCGCTGCACTCTTTCTTCAAGGGTTCTTTAGTGAAGACAGTGGTTGTGTATAGAACCATGAACACTCAGAGAAGCGTTTGCGTGCTTAAATGGTTCTCCGCATGGTGAAACAGTTCTTCAGATTGATGTCGGTTCTATACAGCACCAAAAAGGGTTGTTATGAGCTTGACATCTTAACAACATGCAGAACCCTTTTCGAAAAGGTTCTGTAGAGAACCATATACAACACATTCTCCGTCAGTCTGAAGAACGATTTCACCATGCGAAGAACCATTTAAATGGTTCGTCTGTATAGAGCCACTGTCTTTATTAAAGAACCCATGAAGATTTTTTGAAGAGTGTACCAAATGGAATTCCATCAGTTTTCTTTCTTTCTTTCTTTCTTTCTTTCTTTAACATAATTCAGATGTTGAGATGTAAACGGTCGTTCTGAGTGGTCTGCTGTGAAATGGTTCATTGTAGACAAATGTTTTCACTCGGATTTCTTCACAAATCTTAGAACAATTGTAGGTACAAAATTCATGTTTTAAAATATTAAGTGATTTTCTAAAACATGAACTGGATGTGATAATGTGTGAACACAGATGTCCAATCTGAAGTACAGGCAGCAGTGCCAGAGTGCAGTTTGTGAACATTTCTGTATAAATCAGTTGTGCAAAAATGATGAGAACCTGTCTTAAGAACAAATTTAGAATGAAATTCAAGTACGTTTTATAAATAAGGCCACCTACAACGCAAAAGTATCCTTTTTATTCGCTATCCAAAACCATGAACTCCCTGAGTCTTCCTACATAATGCTGAATGTTTTTTGGGGACTATTTTGCCTTGTAACACCCTGCATGTACCCCTCCACCATGAGTGGATTTTAAAAATACATTTTAGGCCAACTTTCTCAAAACTATAAAACAATATCAGTGTATTTGTAAGCATTTCTTGTAATAACCTTCTGTGAGGGAGCTTTTAGAGGTGGACGTCTGGTTCCTATCACCACCACTGTGAACAATCCTGACTCTAAGTTTCTCTGAAACAGAGCGTTTCACACCAAACCGCTCTGTACGACTCTGTTTTTGCCGTAAACATTTAACTATGCATACGTTTCGCAAAATCAGTCGGACCACCATTTTTTGAGGAGACCATCCTTCAACTTTTCCCAAACAAAAGCAGGACCACAACGCTTCTGCACATGAATTCCTTTATTGTATCTGGCACACCTTTCACCTTTCTGTCAGAAAACCATGCGACGTACAGCATGTGTGGCAAGTTGAACAGTTTCAATAGAGTTTAATAATTTCAATAGAGATGATAATGCCTGATTAGAAGTAGTATAAAAGTATAAAAAGGACAGAAGTCTTGCTTCCGTTTAGTGAAAATAAATAACATGAAAAATGTAATAAATAGTAAATAGTGTATCAAAATACTCAAAAAAAAAAACAGAACAGAATAATGTTGATATTGCGACACAGTGATAAAGATAGAACTGCCTTATATCATAGAAAACTATAATATAATACACATTCGCGCTATACAGAGCAATTTACATTCGGGAGCACGTATGTACATCTGTACATTACCAGAGTATCACAATATCACAATACATAGTATTTTAAGGCTTGGGTTGTCTTTTCTTTTCTTTTTTTTGACTTTTTTTCTGTTTAGTGTTGCTTGAGAACAAGTTCTGAATCATAGAATTCAAAAACATAAACCCAAATATACTGTGCAAAGAAGAAGAAGCAAAAGGTTTTAGGTCAGTGCGTCGTGACACTTTTTATCTCCTCGCAAATTTCTCATCCGGCACCAGCACACACACCTTACACACCCAGCAATATTGCTACATCTAGTGGCAAAACATTGTAACCTTGGTAACAAAATGTGAACACATGCCTCGCGGAGAAAGAGGAGGCATGAGGAAAGTACAATTGGTTAAAACTGGAGGCCGGAAGGGTGGCTGGAAGACAGTTATATAGGGAGAGAGGGAGGAAAGGAAAAGGGAAGACGGTACGACTTAAAATAAAGAAAAAAAAAACCTGGGAAACAAGATGACTTTTCTTTTCCAAAGAATCAAATAAATAACGACACCAAATAAATAACTAAATAACTGCTCAATAAATAAATAAATACATAAATAACAAACAGGTTGAATGCAAAAAAAGTGGAGAGGGAAAGGAAGGTTTTAGATGAAGTGATGTGGACAGGCAGGTGGAGTGGCTCTGCGGCGAGTGTGGATCGGCGGCGCCGAGGCCGGTGCCGCTCGATCAGCTCGCGTATGCCACAGGCTGTAGCCTTACGGGGTAGTTCACGGAGGACTGGACAGAGGGTCGGTTGTAGTGTGTAACCATTGGCTGGAGTTGTAGTGACGGTGGGTTGCGATTGGCCGAGGCCCATCACGCCTGCATTTTGGACTTGAGGCTGAGGAAGGCTCGCGCCGCCCAGTCGCAGAACAGCCGGAACCTCTGCAGGAGCTCCTGGGACGACTGGTCCATCTCCCAGTGGAACGAGGGAGGAGGAGGGAGGGAGGGGGAAGGCACCGAAAGGCGAGGGGCGTCCACTCGCATCATCTGAAGAAAGAGGACGAGAGAGAAGGAGGTCAGGAAAAGCGTTGTATGTAAACACTGTTCAACTTTCAGATCGTACTGATTACTCTCTGGTCCTATACAAAAACCAGGACATCTGCATATTTCCACCTATTCAGCCTACAGCAGTTTAGCCCCGCCCATTCACACTGAAGTTATAAGGAGTGTTTCAGCTCAGACTCTGCTTTTTGAATGAGACACAGCCAATCAGAGCACAGCTCATTTAGGCATATTAGCCTTAAAGGCACAGTAAAAAAAACCAGCTTGTTTAATTTTATCGTGTAAAAATGAATTATGACTCTAAACCACACAAACCTGGAAAGTGGACAATCAACAGAATAATTACATCACAAGCCCTTTATGATATCTTAGTGCATAAATTCTTCAGTTGTAAATGGCATTCGGTCCAGACCAGTAAGAAACTTGGTCAGCAGTACTGATACTGATACTGACGCTGCTAATACAGCTAATAGAAATTCCAATAACTAAGAGTATCAGCCAATATAATCACATCTGGTCAAACATGAAACTGACTCAGACATGTAAAGTTATACGCAGTAAGTTGCTTTCTTGACTGATACGACTGTCTGAATGTGAACTGTCGACTTAGCCAGGGTCCTAAAGGTGAAGTTGTATCTGATATGTTCTGTTATTTTAACTCTGGTGATGTTTGTGTTAAAGTTCACTAGTTCTATATATAGTGAATTCGAGTTGGTGGGGTCGACCAGCTTGGTAGAAAATGTTAAGAGGTTGTCTAACGTTACAATCGATTGACTGTCTGTGACATATCAGTGAGGGGTTTTCTCTGATTGTAGTAAATACACTGATTTTTTCAGCCCAGCTTTAGATGGCGGACACAGAGATGTGTGTGAAGCAGATCATATTTACCTGACGGTGCAGTGAGGTGATCAGACTCTTAATGTGTGAGATCATTTCTCCCAGCTTCGGCGCTGAGCTGTGGTGGTGCTTCCGTGTCACTTTGTTTAGCCACTCGAAGTGATGCTCAAATGACTTCAGGTCAGCGTGAAGCTGAGAGAGAGTGGGCTTCAACTGTGTGAAGGAGGGAGAGAGAGCGAGACATTAGGCACATTAACAGACCATAACCAAATCATTACTCTGTTATGTTTAGAATTATATTCCCATGTATGACTGGATTAACCCCACCGAACTGTAGGCTCATCACTCAGCTATTAATCTTAAGGTTAAATTATTATGAAACTAATATGTGTGAAATGAAGTGTGGCCAACATTCGGACCCTGTTGTATTTACAGTTCTACCTGGAAACTGCCTCCAATAATAAAGTCAAAACAATCCAAAGCCCAATAATCCAAACGTTCCCCGTGAAACACCAACAAACTCCCCTTCATCACTGAGAGTACCCAGAATGTTCTACCTCGTTCACACTGTTCTAGAACGTTATCCCCCATTCACACTGTTCTAGAACGTTATCCCCATTCACACTGTTCTAGAACGTTATCCCCCATTCACACTGTTCTAGATTGTTGTCCCACATCCAGACACTGGTAGAATGGTTTCGCCCATTAAATGCTCTAGAACATTGTCCCCATTAATTTTTCTCCCCATTAAGAGCTCTAGAATGTTTCCCCCAATAATGTTTCCCCTGTTAAGTGCTCTAGAACATTTTCCCCACTAATGCTTTCCCCCATTAAGTGCTCCAGCATGTTTTCCCCCATTTTGCAGTGTTGTAGAATGTTGTCCCACATTTACACTGTTCTAGAATGTTGTTCTCCATTTACACTGTTCTAGAAAGTTGTCCCACATCCACACTGTTCTAGATTGCTGTCCCCATTCACATTTTTCTAAAATGTTTTCCCCATTCACATGGTTCTAGAACTTTGCCCAACATTTACACTGTTCTAGAATGTTTTACTGATTCACATTGGTCTAGAACATTTTCCCCCATTCACACTGTTCTAAAATGTTCTCCCCTACTTTTGTGCAATGTTCATCTCCATTCACAATGTTGTCTTCCTAGACTGTTCTAGAACAGTTTCCTCTATTCATGCTGGTTAATTTGGCTCAGTTCTTAAAGCTATCTGGGAACATTAGATGGTGTTTATCGGGAAAAGTTGGGTCGTTGCTTTGGGTTTAACTCTGGCAAATGCAAAAGAGACTTATAGGCCGTGAGGCAGGCAGACAGACAGACGCTGGCTGGGACACGCACCTCCAGTGAGCTGAGGTCATTGGCTCTGCCGCTGATGGCTGGAAGAGATTTGAACCTGTGGTGGTCGATCACGGAGTCAAACTCTTGGTCGCTCTGAAAGGACAAAAAAGGAGAGAAAGTGCTTCAATAAACAGATCAAAAACTGCACGGTTCAACACAGTAGGGAAACATTGCTGTCCCACAAAAGCAGCGTCATGGCACTGCGCAGAATTTCCCATGGCTGGAGACTACCTCCGAGCCCTGATCCAAGAACAGCTCCCAGTGACCCCCATTGCTAAAGTTAGCAACCCTGAGGAGGAACGTTCAACAGTGGCCTTGAATCAGTTAGCAGGAGGCATCCTCTTAACGTTACCGCAGAATTACAGAGCTCCGGAGTCACCCAGAGTTCAGCCGGGTGCAACCTCCGAACGTCAACACTAAAGAGTTGGTGACCTGAAGCCACAGGATGTTTTCTACAGGAAGAATAACAGCGTATGCAGTGAGTAAGGCGCTTGGAGCAGAATGGACAACACCAAGATGTGGGGAAACTCCAGGGTCGGGGCTAAAAAAAGGCCATTATGACGCGCCGCCACTTTCCGTTCCCACCACTAGAGGGAGACACAAACATTTAGAGAGGAGCCTGCTGGGCAGGTGGGTCAAGTCAAAACACTGTATAAACTTTTCAGCTCCTGTTTGTTAAAGTGTTTAGCAGCATAAACAAGATATGAGCCATGCTTGCTTTGAAATGTTGTCCACTCCACTAATGGGCAGTACAGACGTCAGAGGCCCACTGATTGCGAGCTATGAGTAGTACTAATAGGCTGATTAGCCTGGCAGGTGTAACGCACTGCGTATGTGTCATCGAGGCTCCGTCGGATGAGAAAAACAACAGCGAAAACAAGAGTCGCTCAGCAAGCCCAGTTTTCCAGTGCCATTCTTCCACTGTTTGCCTCAGTGTGTTTTTTCCTTTGTGTGTTGTGTTCTTTGTTTTGCTCCTTTCGCATCTCCTCAAGCCTTTTTGCTTCAATGCTCCGTAGCATATGCCAAACCTATGACACACTCCATCCATTTTTTCACCACTTCTTTCCATCTTTCACCACTTCTGATTTTCATCTCGCTTAATCTCTGCAGTCTCCCAGACGTTCCCTCGGTCCCGCACACACCTACGTTGACGTGCTGCTCAGACGTTCGTCCATAAGTGTTGTCTGTTCTCCTCTTATCTCCTCGGGTACTTGTCCCATACCTCATTAACACAGAGACACGCGTGCCCTCCTGGATCCTGACCTCACTCGCTTGCCTCTTGCACCCACCTCACCTTCCTCCTGTCTTCCTGAATGCAAATGCGGGAATGTGATAAATCCACCTGATTTCTATCGGAACTCTTTGCTGTGACGACCGAAAGATAAACAAGCTGTCCCACACCTACACAGCCCACAACTATTTACAACACGGGCAGACTCGCGCTCTCTCAGAGCCGAACGGAGTAAATACACCCTCACCAGCTAATGCACATTAACACGTTCTGTGCATGCAACCACAGCAGCCAGCGCACACTGGTTTACTGCTTTCTTGTGGGGACTTTCCGTCGATTCCCACCTATTTTTCTTTCCGAGCCCTGACCCCTGTAAAGTGGGAACTCCGCGCGAGAAGAAAAGAAACCAAAATAAATGTTAGCGAAAAAAACTAACAAACTGCTTTCTTTTTAAAAGTGCACTGGGGGCCTTTTGTCACAGGTGGTGTCTTTGATAATGATCTGCCTTCACATCTGGCACACATGCACCCAGCAACGAAACGCACCAAACATCCCTTTATGCGCACATACAGTAGGGCTGGCCTATCTCACCTTCACGGCATCAGATTCGGAGCCTTCCAAACAGTGTATCTTGCATTGACATACCCGAGTGCATTCTAAAAGCCCTGAAAGAGAGGCAGCAGATACAATCTGGAGGGTGAGGTCAGACTTTCTGAGCTTCAGAGAGAGTGCTTGAATGTCAATGAGACCCCGTAGCCATGACTCAGACACTTACACAGACCAAAGTGGTGCTGCGCTCTATAAAAGCATTCAGGCAATACGGTTTTGACGGAAAGGTCAGACCTGAAAGAAGCGGCGATGGCTGCTGGGCACGCCAAGGCTTTGGGCCTTCTAAGCTTATACCACCGCCTCACCTTTTAGAGTTGGCTGCTAATGGAAGGCTCTACTGTACGTTTCACCTTCCTCTGCCATGTGCCTCACTTGTGCTTGTAAACAGGCCTTCGTGATAGCCATGGCAACGCGAGGGGAGGACGTGCTTATGTTTCCGTGAGGGACGTGTGGTGGAGAGGCCTAGCGGAGGTGAGCGCAGAATGAATGGGTTCAGTCCCCCCCAAAGCTATGGACCTCGATCACTTAGCAACCTGGCAAAACTTGACCAAAACCTCCAGGCCCTCAGTCATTGACGTGTCGTCCACCCCAGTAAAAGGCGGACAGGGATGACAGAGTGGGTCTCAAAACAGACTTTAAGAAGGGAAGGTTCAGTCTGCTGCTAGCCATGGATGATATATCGTCTGTGTGTTGTTATAGCAGTATTGATCGATAATGAGGATTATATCCACGTTATCCTTTCCCTCCCATAAAAAAGCTGCCACTGCTCTTGAACTAGTAGTTCCTTGAAATCAAAACCCATCTTTTACATTCTCAATTTATGTCCCAGGTCATATTGATGACATAACAAACGATAAAACTTCTTGTATTGTATATCAGCTAGCTCGGAGACCCTCCATGCTTCACTCGCGAGTACATCACAGTATTATTTCCGATTCACACTGATTTTTTAGACAAGAAACAGAACAATATACCCCAGTCAAAACAAGCTGTGTCAGTTGTTAGACATTCTTTAGCACCCAAAGGAATGAATTCAGCTCAGATATCATCTGACGCTGCGATGCCACAACCCATTTTGAAAACAGATCAATACCGCTCGGCATTCGCTACTGCTGTTCTAGGTTACAGCCTGGGATGATGGCCAGTCCTGGGCCTGGATCCAAATTTCTGTTGTTTTAGCCTGATAGAGCGCTCCAAAAATGAGCGTTATCTGCACCCTCACGGATTCAAAGCCACCGCAATCTGCCATCACTGCGCTTAGCATGATTAATGCAGACCAGATGAGTTGAAAGGCCGTACGGGTTTGTGTGTGTGTGTGTGCGTTCTGAGAGAGAGAGAGAGAGAGAGAGAAGAGAACATAACTGTAGTCTAGCCAGCTCCCACACTGCTGAACGAGGCCAATTTGATGGGATTAGCCATCTGAACATCATCAGCATCGCTCAGGGAGAAAGTGAGCCGTGGCAGCGAATCACTGAATCGACTCATTATTTGACTCCTTTGTCAAGCCAATTAAAGGGGAACTCCTCCAATTTTTCAAAAAATTCAGCTAAATTAAACAACATTTCAGAGTGGTTTGGTGTGAAACGCTCTGTTCTAGAATAACTTAGAGTCAGAACTGTTCACAGTGGTGGTGATAGGAACAAGACGTCCACCTCTAAAAGCTTCCTCACAGAAAGGTATTACATGACATAGTTATGAATTCACTGCCTGATGCCTGAGACATTGTTGTACAGTAGTTTTGTGATAAAGTTTAGCCTAGAACGTCTTGTTAGTCCATTTATTTTTATGCATTCATGGAGGAGGGATACATGCAGGGCTGTGTGAGGTAAAATAGTCAACTTAATAACTTAATTTTTCAGATTTTCAGCTATTTCACCGTCATCAACATTCTGTATAAAACTATAAGCACTCAGAAGACTCGTGTAGGTTCACTGCTGGTTTTGGACAGTAAAAAAAATGTGTATATTTGAGTTGTAGTCATGGCGACCCCTGGTTCCTATCACCACCACTGTAAAGACATCTGAACCATTTCACACCAAACCACTCTGACTCACTCTGTTTACATCTCAAGGACTCAATCGGTGACTTACGATCAGGTCATGGGTCAACTTCTGCAGGTGCCTCGTCTGATTGGTCAGCTTGTCCAGGTCGGCGTGGGTGGGCGGGTGGCGCCTCGGGTGGGCAGGCAGGGCTGATGTCAGCAGCGGCAGCTGAGCCAACAGGACGGAGAAGAGCAGCGAGGAGGAGGAGTCGAGCAGCACTGAGGAAGTGAGGATTATAAACACATCAATTAGGCCTCTAATTGGCACGCAGGCATGCATGCACGAGGCTTATTGCGCAGCGTGCCTGAAAGTGTGCCACTGTTACGACACGGCCGTGTTGCCACACGTAGCGTGAGCGTGTCATGTTAAGGCTGAGGCCTTGGCACATTGCTTTAATCCCGGCCCAGAAAAAGAAAAGAAGAGAAAAGACAACAACACCGTTGCATCACTCTGGAGGAAGCGGTCAGTGCCAAGTGCTCTCAGGTTTCTGGGCTTTTCTTTTTTTTTCTATGCATGCGTGTGTGTGTGTGTGCCATAAGCAAAAAAAATAATCCACTGCTGTCGACTTGATAAATGCTTCTCTAATTAATTAACCACGAGAGCCTCAGGCTGGAAACCCTGTCAGTCTAGCCTGCCTGTTGCTCACACGCAGGCGCACACACCCCCAGGACTTCTAGCAAGCGTGTAATAGTTTACACAGTTATTCAGAAGTCACTTAAAGGGGAACTCCACTGATTTTTCAAAAAATTCTACATAATTAAATGGTTGAGAGGTGAACAAAGTCATTCAGAGTGGTTTGGTGTGAAACGCTCTGCTCTAGAGAAACTTACCAAGTCAGAATGGTTCACAGTGGTGGTGATAGGAACCAGCTCCCTCAGAAAGTGATTACATGAAGTGGTTAGATATGTGCTACCTGATGCTCGAGATGTAGTTCTGTGATAAAGTTTTGGCTCAAAATGTATTTCAACCCACTTAGGATGGAGGGATACAAAAACAGTCCACAAGGAAAAACTTACTTTTCAGATTTTAGACTGTTTTGCCATCATCAACATTAACTCAGAAGACTCGTGTAGGTTCACTGGTGGTTCTGGATAGTAAATAAAATGTCTATATTTGTGTTGTAGTCATGGCGACCCCTGGTTCCTATCACCACAACTGTAAAGACATCTGAACCATTTCACACCAAACCACACTGAATCGCTCTGTTCACTTCTGAGGGAAATTTTGAAAAAGTGGTGGAGTTGCCCTTTAACAGCGCTCTCTACAAAAGCCTTCAGTCATTAAACCATTAAGAAAAGGTCAGACATGCGCAGAAAGCGCGTGCAACAAGTGGCACTGAATGGGAACAACAGCGTAAACAAATAAGCAGTTAATAACAGGAGAGAGAGAGAGAGAGAGAGAGAGAGAGAGAGAATGAACGATGACGTCCACTTACGTTTCATATTTCGTCCAGCGGATCCTCGAGGAGTGCGAATGAATAGGTTGCACGAAGATAAATAAATAAGAGGAGAGGGATAAATAAATTAATTAATAAATTAATAACTGGAGTGCGGGTCACGTGCTCCCGAACGCGTCTCGCTCCCCTTTTCCAGCGTCCGCGTGAAGCTGAGGATTACGCGGGAAGGTCCCGAATGAATGGACGAAACAAAAACAAGAAACAATAAAAAATAAATAAATAAAATAAAAAGTTCCAAAAAGTTTCTGACAAACTTTTTTTTTTGGTCCCTTTCACGCCGCCAGAGTGAGCAGAGAGGCCGGAACGGACGCGAGAGAGGATGGACGGAGACGCGGAGAGGTGTGTGGAGAGAGAGAGAGGCAGAGATGGAGAGATGGAGAGGCAGGGAGAGGGAGAGAGAGAGAGAGAGTGAGTGAGTGAGGGATGCGAGTGAGTCTAATTTTTGCGCGCAGTGAAATGTTTAGGCTTGTTTAAAACTTCCTTTATAAAGACGGTGTGTATGACACACGCCTGAGTCACCCGGCTTCATTCATAAAAACACGCGCGCGCTCCTTCGCTCTGCGCGCGCGCTGCTCCCGCCCCTCTCCGGCTCCCCTCCGCTGTTTAAACCCAAAAAAAAATATATAAATAAATAACAGAATTCCGCTGCTTGTGTTCTCTCTCTCTCTCTCTCTCTCTCTCTCTCTCTCTCTCTCTCCCTCTCTCTCTCTCTCCTCTATCTCCTCGCTGCTATCTCTCTTCCTCCGCTACATCCCGTCAACCTGTGCCTATCACACATCTCTCTCTCTCTCTCCCTCTCTCTATCTTTTCATCTCCCGATCTCTTCCCCTTTCTCTGATTATCACTGCAAAATTTTAAAGGCCCTTTGTTTCATTTCATATCTGCCAATCTGTGCTGACCAATGTGTCTCTCTCTCCCTCTCTCTCTCTCTCTCTCTCTCTCTCTCTCTCTCTCTCTCCCTCTTTCCCCCTTTTCTCTGTCCATCACACTCTCTCTTTTTTACTGTCCCTCTTTCTTTCTTTCTCCTCTCCTTTCCTCTGTCTGCCACTTTCTCCCCTCTTTCTCGTTCTTGCTTTCTTTCTTTCTCTGGTTTTCTTTCTCTTTCTGTTTACCACTCGTTCTGTCTCAGTCTCTTTCTTTTCCTCTCTGCGCTCTCTCCATCTTCTTCTCACTCTTTCTCTTTTTCCCTGACTTTCACTCTCTTTCTCTCTCTCTTTCTCGCTCTTAGTTATGCTAACCTCAAAGGTATAAATAAATATATAATTTGAGTGGTCATACATGAGCTTTAAAATAGCACACACACGCACGCACACACACACACACACACACACACACACACACACACACACACACACACACACACCCTTCGGACTCCAGACTCTCTTTTTTTTATTTTCACTTTATTTGCACTTTTACACACTCTCTCTCTTCTCTCTCTTCTCTCTCTCTCAC